TCGATTCCTAGGACATCTATTGAGTTTTTAAATTTCATGTCGAGTATTCGCAGTGACGTCATTGTGTCACGTGATCCGCACCGGGCTACTAGTAGAAGCCACCAAATGGATTCCTCCAAGCAGACGGATGGAGCGGAGCAGGCCCAGTCTTGGCAAACAGGTAGAAATGCATGAGTAGTATGGAAATATTTCACTTCTGGTTCAACTACTGTAAGGAAACAGAAAATTAATCAACTTCCTGACTGTCTGGAGCTGTTGCAAACTGGTGTTACACCATATTCTGTGACCACCGTATATTGTGACAGTAGGGGGCGGTGTTGCATGCACTGTTGCAGGTCACAGAATATGGTGTAACACCGGGTCCAATGACCGAACCAGAACCAGCTTCCTCTGACCTTGTTTCACAAAATAAAAGCAAAAAATATTAATCTCTAAACCTATAAAAAATCTATAAACATGTTAATCTCTAAAACTAAACCTAATGCGCAGCACAGCTGGCAGTGGTGCGGGGTGGTCGTCCGCCCCACTGTTTTTAGTTCCGTTTTTGACGTGCTGCACGTTATTTCTTTCACTTTTGCAGCTTAATAATAATAACTAATAGTTTTGGTTTTCCTGTGACTTACTTCCAGTATGATAAATGGTAGGAGCATAATATACTCTCCAAATGTTTTGTTGGTCTTTTTTGTTGTTGTTGTAAATAATAAATTACGTTTTTTGTGGTTTTATTTTTTATTTATTTTTTCATCTTGAGATCCTATGACGTCATCAACTACTCGAGTTCTACTCGAGTTTTATTACGTTAATGTCGACTTTAAAAATTATGTAGTTCAACTCCTATAAAGTGGTGGCCATCTTGGATTTTTAAGCGTTAACCAAGTTTTTGCTGAAGGCCTGTTTTAGGCCTAGACTAGCAACACATCAACACAGAAGTTGGTACATCACTTATTTTTGAAGCTATCCTGCTCAAAACGTGGACGGACAGATGGGGGGTATTTTCATCCCCCATCTTTGTTTTGTGACAGCAGACAGCTAAAGTAGATTGTCTTAAAGGAATGGATGTTTCTGCCTTTTTAACAAAGATGTGTGATCTATTAGCTCTCAAAATGTAAATCTGAGATGACTCTCAGCTACTCCACATCATATTTGAGCTCACATCTGTAAAAATGACTGAGTTATAGACATGTTTGTAATAGCTAAAGTCAATAAGGTGTGGTGGCCATCTTGAATCAGGTTGATTTTATAAAATAATCAGCAGTAGGTTTATGAATATCCAATGATCATTCTCTGAGCTTCATTCAAATCTGTCCAGGGGTTGATGGGATAATTGAACAAACAGACTGTTGGAACATGTAGACACTGTTGTTTACATTATCACCCGCCTGTGTGCACATTTGCTGCACAAGTACTACTGAGCCTCTTGTCCTGATGCTGCTCAATAATCCAGGTAGATAAATCTAACAAGTTCGAATCAGGTATTTATAAGACTGAGTTTGTTGCAGCTCCTCAGACTGAAGACGTCTTCTGGATAAAAGACAAAACGTTTCAACAAGAAAAATCCATCCAGAGGACCTGACTTAGATACTGAGCCTCTTGTTTAACGAACGAAGAACAAAGCATAAACAGATAATAAGCAACATTCAGTGTCTTCTTTCTCCAGTGAATGCTAACGAATCTGTCCTTCGATGGACCTTCAGCTCATCTTCATGTCTTTGCAGCAACACTAACCTCCTGCCCCCCGCCCAACCTGACCCCTCCACACACAAAATAAAGATACTAATATATATCCAATGCACACTAAAAACATACAAACTATCATCAGCCTTTAGGTGTGTGTTTTACCCACGTCTAACATATGCACACACACACACACCCCTCCCAACCCCACTCCCACATCCTGGCAGCCGTGCGGCAGGCATTCCACTTGTGGGACAGCCCAAGGCCTTTAATCCCAGCCTGGCTCCCGCCAAAAGCTCCGTGAACGACACAACGCCTGCCACAGAGGATGTGCCACCATAAAAACACACACTTAGATAAACACTTCCTCTTTCCCTCTGCTCCCCACGGGTCTGCTGCTCACCCTTTGTTACTCTTCGTAATCTTTGACAGCACCAGGTTCTTCCTGCAGACAAAGGTTTTATTGCAGCACAGCTGTAGAGAAATAGATTATTTGCTCTGATTTGGTCTTCTAATAAATAAAACTGGTGGATTTCAATCTAGTGGTTGACTTTTTTTATTCTACGCCCGTTGAAGGTGCGACGTGTTCTGGTCTCCTCCGGATGTAAACTCTTTCGTCTCCAGCCCGTAACATCTGATCTGCTCA